ACACACAGAGGCAGACAGAGACAGACAGACAGACAGACAGGCATGCAGACAGACAGACAGGCCGACAAGCGGACAAGCAGACAGACAGAGACATGCAGGCGTGCTTAGATACATACGCGCATAAACACACATTCACACGTATACATACACATGTACTCGCACATATGCAACCTCTCTCGCTCTCGGTAACTATGTCCAGATGCATACACATGTGTGCATGCAAAAATCATACATACATACATACATACATACGTACATACACATGTAGATATTTGTGTATATTTTCTAATATAACATAACATAACATAACATAACATATACTATACTATACTATACTATACTATACTATACTATACTATACTATACTATACTATACTATAATATAATATAATATAATAGAATAGAATAGAATAGAATAGAATATAATAGAATAGAATAGAATAGAATAGAATATAATATAATATCATATAATATCATATAATATAATATAGTATAATATAATATAGTATTAATATATATATATATGTATTTATTACGTATACATATACATATACATATACATGTATCTGCGTATTGTGCACGGGTTTACGATCTGTGGGGTGCAGACTCCTGCTTGTCTCGAAACAGAAGCGTCATGATTACCGTCGGGGGACTTGCAGGTCCTCTCTGCTTCGCTGCCTTTTGCATGGAACAACTACATGTTCGTTTCGAAACGAGTTTGCGCGACCGATATTGCTATAAACCAGAGTATTTTCTGTGATTCTTTACATCTATCTGTCGCTCCATCTATCTGCCTGTGCGTGCCTTTACCCCTGTACCTGCACCTATCTGGATTCGGGGATTCTCCCAGGTATCCTGCAGCTTGCTGCATCTCGGCCTATGAAGCGTTTCAGATCAGGGTTCAAGACGTAAGGTGTAAGTTTGTCTTAGGGTTTAGGTGTCGGGACTCAGGGCTCCAGGGTTGGGGCTTGGGGTGTTCGAACGCACCTTTCTTTCCAGGGCACGAGGTTTCTCAGACCCTAAACCCATGGCCTAAAACAAGGCTTTGCCGTAACCGTGAGTATGCCCCAGGAGCGATGGAAGGAAGACTTCGAACTCAACAGCTCGAGCCTGAGTCTGTGCTGGGGCAGCGAATTCGCCGGATAAGCTCCCCGAAGGACCCATCGCCGCATCGCTCTAGCCACCAATCCTTAGCAGTGGACCCGCAGCTCCCGACCTGAGCTTGAGCGTTAGAAAAGCTTCAAGAGCAGGGCTCCCAAGCGGAAGCAGCCGTAACCTCCGCCATGCAGCAGGGCAAGGTCTAGAGAAAGCACCTTCATCCCCTCGCCGAGGCGGCGACCTCGTGGTCTTCAACAACAAGCGCTGTGCCCATCGCTTTGCCTTGCAGGGATCTGCGATCCGCATGACACGCGGCAGTAGAGGCAAGGAATGCTGGTCTAGTCGGGTAGTACGTCGAGAGGCTAGCAACAGTGCTACAAGTCGCAGCGTTGGTTTCTGTTCACGTTTCATCGCATCCTTTAGCTTAGCCCCTTAGAAGCTTCTCCCGCTTACTAACCTCACTTGTGTGTCTCTGGGCCTCAGCTTCCCCTAGAATAAGAAAGATATCCACGGTGCAGTCCCTCCGTAGCTTGTCTGCATTGAATATGCGTGGGGATGAGGGAAATTAGAGGGGATCTGGTGATGCAAGACAAGTGGCTTTCACCTGCACCGTCAAGTTTTCAGTAGCCAAAGCACTTGTGAGTTCAGGGGTGTTGCGCGGGCTGTTGCAATAAAAGTTTGCATTGTCTGAACGGCTCGCATGGGTATATTTTATTGGGAACCGATGCTTACTCTCACGAGCAATGACCCGAAGACTGCTGACAAGACCCAGGGAATTCCCCTCCCGTGGTCTGATATGGAGGGAGGGAGGGAGGGAGCCCTGATTGCACTACTGCAGGAATCATGATGAGTTGCATGTCTATGGTAGAGTAGAAGTGCAGGTGCAGAGTGATAATTCATGATGTGACCTGAGAGGTGCAGATGAATGGCAAGATCGGTTGATTAAGTGACCAAGGGCAGGTGCAGCCCCGTGCCCAACGACCTTCTTCAATTGAGCAGATGGGCGTTTGCACTCAACTGGTGGACGTGTCTGTGCTGCCCTTGGAGCCCCTAGATTCCCTAGATCTCGCCTGCACATGTGTGTGGAGAATGTTGAAAGCAAACATCTACCAAAGCTGCAAGATTTGTAGAGCTCGTGATTTTTTCTAACTGCGGCCAGTCACCGGGTTCCGTTGTGATGTGTTTAGTGCATAGATGCACCATCCTGTTTGAAAACCTTTCTTGACTCCAGTGATGCCGGCCGCGATTTTTATGAGACGGAGCCCACCCTCTGTATCATCTCCTCTTGCAAACGTCGTGAAGCGACGTGAATTTTCAGCACAGCTAGTCTTGGACTTGGAAACCTTGCCACCAGTGCTGCTGGGGTTTCGCGCGAGCAAGAAGGCAGTGCGTCCTGCAAGCTCAGCTCCTAGTGACCATGGTTGCAATGTGCTGTCGCGCCGCATCTCGTGTGTGCAAGAAGCTGGCCGCGGTCTGGTGTCCGAGGCCGTCGCCGCTGCAGTACCACTACCGCACGAAACTCACCCCGCATGCGCAGGCCCGTGCTTCTCGAGCCTGCAGGGTCTCGGGGACTGTTTCCCGGGGGCTTCGGGAATGAATATCGCAGATGTCAAAACCCCAAGTTCAACGGAATGAGAGGCACGTAGGATAAGACTAGTTAGATGTGTACTGTCACGTCTGCTCAGGGCGTACCGTTCATTTTTGCTGCGGCTCTTCTGCACCACCACTGCTGCTGCTGGTGCTCCTGCATTACTCATCGGACCAAGACCCAAGATTGCCCGGCAAAGTAGTGGGGCAGTTTCGTAGCAAAAGCTCTAAAGCGTCATGCATCGTTGTATCAAAGCTTATGGTTCCTAGGGATTGCTGAGACGAGGTCTTGCATATTTGGTGGATCAGAAGTGTACAACATACATCAATATACTAGAACAGACTATAATCAACTGTACTAGACTATAATATACTGCAATCGACTGTAATTTATACAATGCTAGACTGGGCTACGTTATATCATACTATGACATACTACAACATAACATAATACTCCATACCCTACTATAACACATAGGCTCCTTGGTTGTTTAACTTCTTGATCTTGAGCCCCGTGACGCCAGAATAAAGAATTACTCGAAGGCTTTTTCTGCAAGGGCTACCAGAAGAAGGGTCACTATTCCAAGCGTTACTCCCAGGGCTACCATGAGGGTAAGCGTGCTATGAGGAAAGCGTTTCGGGCCAGAGAGCGCTGAAACTCTGAACCCCGTTGATAGGAGCCTCCACCAGGGCGCCAGCGAAGGGCGCGAAGTGGCGAGGTGTCACAGCGCTGACGTGTTTCGGATGGAGGGTTTGTGGCTCTTCTCAGAAGGTTTCGAGTTTTTGAGTTTGTGCTGCTGGGGTCTCAAGAGTGCTTGTTTGAGGAAGGACCTGTGGCACCCGAGACGCCACAGCCAAAGCCCTTACGTTGTCTGGCTACAATCCGCCGTAAACAGCCGGAAGCTTTCGATGCTTGAATCCGGATTTCGGCTCCCCGCAGCAAGTTTGGGCTGGCCAAAGTCTTCCTTCGATCCCCATTGCCGCCCACGCTTTGCTCTCCGAGAGCTTAAGGCCTGAACATGTGCAAGTCGGGAGCTTAGCTGCGCTTTGCCTCCGGGCTTTACTGGATTTGAGCCTGCGGGAACTCCCAGGTCTGACACCTACGTCCTGGACCCAAGCTTCGATCCGGAGGCCTTCGTAGCAGATCTCAAGGCAGCAAAGGCCCGGATGCCAAGAGCAAAGACGAAGCGAGCCGCCGTGCAGCACGGCAGCGTCTCGAGTACTTCAGGCGGCCGTGGGCGATGCGACCGAAGAGGACGCGTGCCATCTGCAGGGTCTAGTGCTGACTTCACGGGTGCCCGGGCTGCAAATCCCTGACTTTGGAGCGGCACACGGTGTCGACATGCTCTGCAGGTCTTGCTCTACGGTGGCACTTCGACTGCAGTGGCCAAGTGTTCGCAGTCACAGGCTGCAGGAAGGTAGCTGTTGATTCGGCGCTGTTCTTGGGTGAAGGCCATTGCCTGCTGCTGTTGGGCGCAGCGCTGCCCCACTTCGCTTGGCTTGCTTTGACTCTCAGCGCCTGGGCCGCCCGAGCCGGACGCCGCATTGTCATAGACTCTCCTTCCCTTGAGGTGCCTGCATGATCTCCTTCGCGCGCTGCATGAACTGGGCCATTATCGGTCACCACGTCTCGCACGGAGGCATCTTTGTTGAGATAAACCGATATCATACGGGCTCCGCCGCCCATGCCTTTTGCCGTTGAGTCCCGATGCGGTGAGATCGCGTCCTCTTTGGTCGGCTTTTGCGAGTTTCTGCAGAACAGATAAGGCTTTGACAAGCTGCAGAAAACACATCCCCATGCCTTGCCATCTCACTACAAGCCTCATGGCAGCAAGCAGTCCCATGAAGCAGTCTACCAAGCAGCTTAAAGAGCCAGTGAGGCGTGGCGTTTTTGCGATTGGACTTCGCCGCTTTTTGGACTGGATGGACTGGATGCTTCCCCAAGCTTGGGACTCTCGCCGACTCGGAAGCTTCCTAACAGCTGGTTCTTGCAGCCTGCTCTCACAGGGGATTGCCAGTGTCTATCATGGAGTTGGCCGTATGCATCCCTTGTTTGGAGAATCGTGCAGTGCTGCATAGTTGCCAGTTGCCAAGGATGTGGAGCACAACAAGGTCCACAAGCTCACCGGGTAGTGTTTTCAGCTTTAGACTGACGGAAGGGTGGATCCGACGTCATCTGTCTGCGTCACCAAATCATTAGCAGGGGCAGACCAGCTGCGGACCACGAACTCAGAGCTGTGATTCATTGAGGACGCAGTCCGAATCCCTATATCTAACAGAATCTAGCAAATTCAGAGTTGCAGGCCCTTCCTACAATCTCGACGCAACAAACTCTGACAGCTCCCGAAGGCAGAACAGTCCATGATTCCTATGCATTCTGAAAAAGTCCAGGTTCTGACGGTTCACGCATGCTTTTTGCTGTAACACTGACTACCTCATAGAGGGTAGGTAAGATAGATCAGACCTAGACGCACTCCCATTGGCAAAGTCTCCGGTGTCCTTTGCAGGCTCACCATTACTACCTCTCTGAGGAGAAGGATCCAGACCTTGTCGAAGAGAACTTCGTGACTCTCAGATCACTGCAACTTCCCCAGGTGGGAAGATGAGTGACACGCAAGACGAGGTCGGTCCTCTTCTGTGGTAGGCATCGGAGTGGTTGTTTTCGACAGATCCTGAAGTACGTCTTCATGCTGTTCTGGACCTTCAACTGGAAGTTTTCCTATTACTCGCCTAACACCTTCAAGGAGACAGCGCTGGGGTTTCATTCCTCCTTCCTTAGATCAGCTGGCCAAGAGGAGCTGACCTTCTCGAAGCCCGACACTTGGCTGGCCCGGAATTGGCCGGCCGGAGCAAAGAAGACGGCTCCAGTCCAGCCCTCGACACGAGTTCGGCACAAGGCAGACTTCGCAACGTGGCTACTGCTCAGGTGTTGGCCTATGATTGGATTCGTCTTCCTGCAGAGGCCGCTAAGCGTTAAACCCTAAACCGCTTTGTCATGGGTTGGTGTGTTTGTTGCATGTCGAGGCCCTTCTCAGAGGGCACCTGATGGAGGCAGCCTATTGGATGATTTTCTTCATGCACTGGCCCCCGTCTCAGCTTCGCGTGCCCTTGATACGATTTCGGGTTTAGGGGTTGTTCGGGCGCTCTGCTCTCCTCTTCTGCCGACCTTTGTATCTTGAGGCTTGGAGTTGTGCTGCCCATGATGGCAACTGTGGCACTGCCCGGGGTGCCAGCCCCAGCCGTGGGGACTCGACGTGTCGCAGTGCTCGGCCCTTGCGAACTCAGCTTTGGCCGCTCCTCCTCGGCGAAGCCAAACTGTGGCCCAGCAGCGTCTCGCCCGGCCAGGCCCAATAGAATGAAGGGAGAGTTTTCCGGCTGAGCTCACACGGCGCCCGTGCAAGGCCGCAGTGCGAGCACTGCTCACATCCGTTGCCGCTGACTTCCTGTCCAACGCGCATTCCTTCGAAGCTTGACCGAAAGCTATGCCTCCATGAGAAAAAGGCTAACCCGAAACATCGAGACATGCCTGTCGTCCACCACTTGAACACAAAGAACTGCCAGAACGGCGTGGAGATGAACTGAATTGTTCTGGCGTGCAACCCGTTTCTTCTGGCATCCTGCACCTGTAAAAGAAGGCATCAAAGCAAATTCAGCGGTATGGTCATGGCCTAGAAAACTGTATGTACAGTGATGGCTTGTGAATTTGCTATGCTGAGGTAATCATCGTTTGCAATCATGCAGGAGGGGATCTCTACCGTTACTCGACGTCTTGCAAGGTAAGGACTTTCTGAGAATCTGACAAGAAGAAGGCTTCTCTGCTTGAGTGCATCTTGCACGGCAGGCACATTCGGCGGAGTTCCTCTTGCGCTGTGCTTATTCGTCGGCCAATTTTGAGACAGGTACGGATGCCCGTCTGCATTGAGTCTTCTCACAGCGCAAGTTGGCTGAAGAGAGTTCGAGTTACCAGCTTTGTTGAAACCGAGGAGTTGATCGACACCGTCTATGGTTGGCTGAACTATCAGGCCTCTTGTCACTGCTGATGAAGTTATGTCTTTAGTGCGGAACGTTATTGTAAGAATGTCCGGTCGTCGTGCAAAGATGAACTTAGGTGGAACACCATATGTTCCCAGACATGACTCCGCTGCAGTTCCCCGGCACGGTTGCGTAAACCAAAGCTTTAGCTGCAAGACGCAGTTTCTGAAGGTCCTCTGACTCTGTGATGGCTGAATTGGCCGTTCTTGGCAGGTACCGCAAGCTCCAGCCGCTGGTAAAGAGCCGCTTCTCTCAGATATCATCCGGTGTCGCACAACTGTGGCAAGCTGCATCAAGCTGCGCTGCCACAGACCAGTACCAGTGTGGAGATGTCTGTCTGGCAGCTGCCCAGGCATATGCAAAAAACATAACGTCCAGTATGTGCAGATGAACGCGCTGCGTCGCACGTGGATGATGTTTCAGGTTGCAGCTGCTTGGCAGGACCAGGCTGCTTCAACACAGAAGGCAAATTTGCCCGCCGGTTTGCCCTGAGGTCGGGGATGCCGATATGAAGCGCTGCACGGTGCTCCGGCGACAATGAGATGCTGCTTTTGGGATGTCTCGCTCCATCCCGACATGCATGACAGAGGCCTTGGTGCCGCCGTGTGCGTACAAGAACTCGGTCGAGCGACTTGGCTCAGACTTACAATCGAGTCATCCCTAATCCCTAAAAAAAAACCCTATACCCATGGGTTTTCGGGAATTCCAAAGCTCGACTGTCTGAGCCAAGGACAGACGGCCCGGGCCTTACAAAGCCATGCTGCCCGGTGTCCAAGACGCGAAGGTTTTTTTGTTGCATGGCAACTATACTTGCAGGGTTCGTAAAGACCGTATTAGCACAAGAATCCTGCATCTGGGGTGTAATGGAGCCTAGAAGCAGGATTTTAAGCCTCTTTAGCTGGCACATATTGATGTTTGTGCGGTTGTCTGTGCCCCGGAAGATGGCATGCGGTTAGACACTCACTGATATCGCTGCCTTGGCACACGACACCGAAATCGCCGAGTCTCTGCATTGCATTCACTTGGTTCCCTGATCCAGGGGCTCAGTCGCCGATTCGAGACAGCTGAGATGCATCGTTGTGTAGACTTGGAGCTGCGAAATCCTGAAGTCGAGCAGCCAGTTGTTTGCGAGTCATGCCGGATTGCCAAATATGCTGACATCGATGGTTCGAGGTTAGCAGAATGGTACGGAGGGAGATATGACATGTTTAGATTGTCAAAGGAGTGTCCACTCGGAGCGTCTGCTCCCGACATGTCTCATATGTGCAGTGCAGGTTATCTGCAAATTTCTTTGGCTGCTAGAGCTGCCAGCAGTTATGTCAATTGCCTGGCTCTTGCCCACACTGCGCGACGGCCACTTGAATTTTGCACTTGGCAAGATCGTTGCTGCACCCGGCCAAGGGGCTGTGGGTGGGTTTTGGCAGTCGCGTGGCAAATGGTGCTTTGTGGTGCTGTCAACCTTCCCTCGCCTAGTGTCACTACATGCCATACGGACGATCGGTTGTATTTTCGTTTCACCACTGTAGAACAACAGCTACTGCTACTGCTACTGACTGCTACAACGACTACCACTACTACCACTACCACCATTACTACCGCTGCTGCTGCTGCTGCTACTACTACTACTACTACTAATAATAATACTACTACTACTACTACTACTACTACTACTGCTACTGCTTCTGCTACTGCTACTCCTACTCCTACTCCTACTACTACTACTACTACTACTACTACTGCTACTACTACTACTACTACTACTACTACCCCTACTGTCCCCACTACCCCTACTACCCCTACTGCTACTGCTACTGCTAGTGCTGCTCCTGCTGCTGTTGGTGCTGCTGTTCTTGCAAATCTTATTGTCTTCATTGGCATCCGCCTTGCTCTTATTATGGTCATGACGGTGATTCTGTTTGATTCTATTGGTTTCCTTACGGCCTTGGGGCAGGACGATATAGACTACTCGGCCATCGGCTTTTTGGAACAGGCCATGTGCCGGTGCCCAGGGTTTACACCAAGCGGAAATTTATAGCAGATCATGTTCTCTTGCGTGAGGAGCTGGGGTGATCCGGGGTGAGATGGGTGCTAGAGGCCACCAGAAGAACTGCCAGATGGCGGTGGCAAGCATCATCGTAGCTAGTCTGATGGCTGTTCCTAGCTGTCGTTCATCGGACTCTAAATCTGCCGATGTATGTTCACACGGTATCGGACATATTAAGGTAAAGACTTCGCAACAGAATTAGATGGATACAGTAGTAAAGTGAACAGAAAAGACACGCAGACAAGTAGTTGGATGCATGAATAAACAGACACGCATACGGATGTACACATACCTGCACGTACACGCACAGATGTGGAAAGAGATAGATAGTTCAGTAAGCAGATTGAGAGGCAGATGTATGTAAATGGATGACATGAATGGATAGAGAAGTCAACAAGTAAATGCATACACAAGTATGTGCATACCTTCCTTCATATCATGTCATGTGTATAGGTACGCGTGTGAAGCACGCTCACGTACTTAAATCGAGTCATAGGCTATGTACATAGCTTGACTTGCAGAGGTCTGTCGTAGCATTGCAAGCAGAATCAGTTGACGGAGGAGTGGGGTTCCACACGGGACGCTTCCGGCCGCCGTTGGCGCAAAGTCGTCGACGTGCCGCAGGCGGCCCAGCAGGTGCTTCTGGCGTGTTGAATGAACTGCGGTTCGTCTTGCTTGGGCGGTCAGGAGATCGAGGGACATTGGCAGACAGTACGTACTTATAGTGAAAGAAGGTTAAAGAAAGTCGAATCTGCGGTACATCCACGCCACTGTGCATGGGTTTCTCCTTGAGCTTGGAATCAGCAGAGGGTTGTCTGTTGCCAGCTTTCCAGCATAAACATCTCATTGCGATGAGGTCTTGCCCCATTGCGACGGAGGCCTCACCGAACCTCTGCTTGCGCGGTCCGTTTGAGAAGATACCCGAGAACTTATCCCGCAGTGTCATGCCTTCGGAGCTGCACGCAGGTTCGAGTGAGCCTGAGAGTGTCGGCCCTTCTGAAGCCGTCTGAGTTCAAGCACCTAAGCCTCCCAGCGACATGGCAGAGAAGCCGAGCTACCAGGACGTGCACGGCGAGGCCAGGGCACCCAAACCCCCGCAGATACCGCCCGGTGCTTTTTACATCTTCTTTCTACATACTATATTACAGTAGTAAGTTATCGTATATTTTTATAGTAGATTTTAGTAAAGTTTTATTGTAGTACAGTATAGTATTTCAAAGTACGTTGTTATACTCCACTAGTAAGCTACCTCTGAAAATGTGCCCTAAGATGCCCGGGGGGCCAGTCATCGACGAGGAAGGCCTGGCAGTGCAGTCCACGGGCGAGCCCGTGAAGAAGCTTGGCGACTAGAATACCATAAGATACAATGATACACAATGATATACAGTACTATACTAGAATTTACTATAATATACGATAACATACGATAACATACTATAATATACTATAATATACTGTAATATACTATAATATACTATAATATACTATAATATACTATGATAGAATATACGATAATATACCACAATATAAAGAACCTATACATACATACATACATACATACATACATACATACATACATACATACATACATATATATATATATATTATAGATTATAGAATATAGCAGAATATAATGTGATGAAGCCCAAGTACTGCGTGTTCCCTCCCAGCTTCGGTAGTTGGCGGCGACTTCGGTAGACGGTGACTGCTAGACGAGGAAGAGCTACCAAGAAGTTCATGGCAAAGCTCCGTGGGCCGCAGGAAGTTTCAGCAAAGACAGGAGCTCCGGAAGCTGCAGATCTGAGGTTCCAGGAGGCCCTGTCAGAGACAGCAAAGGCTTGGCAGTTCAGTCAACGGGTGGGCCGGCCAAGAAGCCTGGTCAGCAAAGCAAGGGGGCGGGCCGGGGGCGGGGGCAAGTTGGAAGAGCCAGGATGTGCTACCAGCGGATTTTGGATTTGGGTGTGTTCTGATGCTGCTGTCGGCGCTCCTTGACGGGACAGTGATCGGCTAGTTCCCACAACCAAGGAAGAAGAGCTATCAAGAAGTCAATGGCCCTGCTGCTCGGAGGACATTTCGGCCTTTGCCTTGCGCTCGTTGAACAGCATCGCAAACTGCAAGCGAAACTGACCCTTATAAATAAGTAAATACATAAATTGCTAAATAAATCCTGTAAGTCCTGTGGATCCACGCCCTCCACGCTGAGGTTCCTACAGGGCCAGTCATCGATAGCCAGGGCCTCGCGTGCCAAGTCTCCGGGGCGCCCACCAAGAAGTCCTACGAGGAGGTTCACGGCAAGGCAGCAGCAGCCTGACAAGGGCTTCTGGTAAGAGTAAGACTAAGTGGGAGACGAGCAAGAGCAAGCCGATCGGGCAACACTTCTCACGAATGCGATGACAAGCGAAGACTTTGCCGTTGCATGCAAACAAACTGTCTCATTCACGAGCCACGACTTGTTGAGAGAGTTGTTGTAGCATCAGACGACTTCCAGCTTGCTTGTCCTTGTAAGTCCAGAGCGTCTAGCGACACAGTCTTGAGAGCAGCTGGCAGATTCCGGACGGTCCGGTCCTGGACGAGGAGGGCCTTGCGGTGCAGTCCACTGGTGGCCCTCCCGAGTAGGTGGCAAGCCTGGGCTTCTCTGCAATTCTGGCATGACACATGTCCTGCAAGCAAGTAAGTGAAGTCTCAGTCTTGCTGGCTGGAGGCGTAACGGAAAGAGAGACACACTTTGAACATCGCTGGCGGCGAGCAGTGTGGCTAGGCCCTAGCGGCTAGAGCCCGGCTACTCGCTGGGCGAATCGCGGCACTTGTGCGGGCAGGCGGAGCTTACGCACTTGGGCCCTTACCCTCGGGTGTGGACGAACACCGGCCAACACCTGAGGCTGATCTTAGTTGATCGATGCTGTCGAAACATTGAAGTCGCGACCTATGCAACGCTGCAGCATTTTCAAAAGCGTGTTTTAAAGTCCTTTCTCACCTTCGAGCCGGTCTGCGGCCTGCCAGCATGATGTATGTCGGCCATTGCAAATAGCTGGCGAAGAAGCAGGGATCCCGGTCTGCGAGAACAGGAACTCCGGTTAGTTCCAGACACTTCCGCAAAAGACCAAGTTGTTGTTGCATGCACGGCGGGAGAAGCCTCCGAGTCCCACAGCCGCAGGCTTTGAATCAGGCGCTGCCAGCGGAGCGCGCCAAGGTCGGGGGTCCCGACGCTTCCAGATCGCTGTGTCTGCGATCCGCTGGCACGGCCTGTCCCTTGAATCTTCATCTTGCAGTTCTTGAGGCATCCTTAAGCATCCTCTATAGAATGCTAAGAGGTATGTGGTATGTATGTATGCATGCATGCATGAATGCATTGCATGCGGATCAAAAGTTGGTGGGCCCAGGCCTGCGCGGGCGGCCAGCCAAAAGGCAAGCTGCTCCTGCGCCGGGTGCTCGATTTGCTCCTGGATGATATGCTGTGCAGGTTTCCTTGTTCGATTCAGCAGCAGCGTGGCTCGTTTTGGTTTCGACTTTTCGATTTGAAGTTTGTCCTCCCAGCTTGAAGCTTCACGGCTTCACCACATCCAACTTCCGTCCTGCAAAAGAAGCAACTCAGCACGAAAGGGGAACGTGCAGGCAGGAAGGATGGAAGGAAGAACGTGCAGAACCGTTCCTCAAAGTCGAACAGCGTTGACGTCGACTCGCCGCGAGCTCTCAACAAGACAAATCGCCAGTGTTTCTCGTCGTCTAGATCGGCGAAACGGAGACCGCTGTTGGCAGCTTCAGGTGACACTGTCGTCGATGGCGTGGTGGGGAGCACAGAGCTTTGGCGTGATGGATGGAACCGGCATCTCAGGAGGGTTCAAGCGACGCAGACGAGGCCATCTCTGGTGTCCTAAGGTCACAGACCCCTTCAGGATTGTCACCGAGCGTGTGCCGAAGTTCGGGGCCGGTGGCCTGGGAGTACATCAAGGAGTCATCGAATACGACTCTTTTCACCAGAGTTGTGTCGAGGCTTTTCACTTTAGAGCCGGCGGGTTCTTTCAGC